ATTCCAAGCAAGGAGATGAGGATGTATAAGCTAGATCTTCAAATTGACACGAAAATCGTGTTCAAATAATCAATGGATGATAGAAATATCCATTCACTACTTCATTTCCCTATTCTCTGGATGTTGGAATGTAATTGTAACAACCCAATTTTCAGAAAATTTTTAAAATTTTTAATTTCATAAACATCATCCATAGGAAGTACAAAAATCCCAATACATATCCATATTATTTTGAAATTCAGAGTACAAAGAGCTAAATGTGAAAACACTGGAGAATACACACCACGTCATCAAGCCAGGCCCTTGCCCTTGTCAACAGAAGTACCTGAAACATTCAATAAAACTTTAAGCACAAGCTTAGTGAGTTTCCCAGTCATACAAATCATATAATCACATAATGTCATGCTCAAACATATACATACAAGTTTGCCATGGACTCCCTCCATGGACTTCAATGGGATGCCATGGGCTATCCCCATGGTATTATATCCTCATGTCATGGGCTCTTCCCATGGTCTTGCCAAGTGCCATGGGCTCCCCCATGGTCTTAACATAAACCCATACATAAGTGAAATAGAAAATCATTATACATTCAAATACAAATCATCTCATATCAATTAATGGGCTGGCCTTGGTGCCTTCGTCCCATGAGTGTGGTGAGAAGACTCACCTCAATACTGCACGGAAGCTGACTAGGTCGGGACTCCAATATCCGCTCTACACAACCCTAAAACATAAAAAATTTCTTAAATACAACTCAAAATGCCCCAAATCCCCTTAAAGGTCAAACTTGGTCAAAGACTAAGGTCAAAGGTCAAAGTCAACGTCCTGAGTTGACCCAACTCGCCGAGTTGTCCCTCAACTCGTCGAGTTTCTCTATCATCCAAACAGATCGGGAAAAATCCCATCAACTCGTCGAGATCACTAATGAATTTGTCAAGTTTGGCCAGAAATCCAACCTCTTAATTCATTAAGCTGATACCTAGGGACTCCAAATCTCAGATCTCATCCAAAATGATGTCTAAAAGGAAAAAGTTTCCAACTTTACCCTTAAGAACCATCCAATAGAAGCAAACCCAAACCCTAGGCTCTTTAGAGAGAGTCTTAATCCATAAAGCCCTTAAACTCTCCCAATATAGTCCCAAAACACATATCTAGAGTCCAAAGGTTGGATAATCACGTAAAGTTTCCAACTTTACGTCCATGCAAGCTAGAAATACACTCTAGAGCTTAATAAGGGCTTAATGAGGGACTAATTGCATGAACGAGACTTATAACTAAGAGAAGTTTGCAACTTTCAACCATGAGAAGTCATGAAGGGGTTATATCTAACATAATAATCCCTGGAACCTTCAACATCTTGGCTAGCCCAATCAAAATCCCAAAATCATGCTACAACTTCCATTAAAGAGATTTAGATGATAGCAAAGCAAGATGTTGACTTTATACCTCAAGAAGACTGCTATTGGTGAAGAGTTTCTGGATCTATACTCCTTCTTCTAAGCAATATGCTTCCAACTTCCAAGCTCCTTCCAAAGAACCACCAAAATCAATTCTCAAAGCTCACACACTCAATCTTGAAAGGATAAACGAACTTAGGGTTTTTTCTGGATAAAGGGAGGCTGGTAAGGAGGCCAACCAAGGGGTTTAAGTCCTTTAAATAGGGTGCAACACCCTAAAATTAGGGTTTCATCTCCAGCCGCTAACTCGTCGAGTTGGGACTCCCCGACTCGTCGCGTTGGGTCATTAAACTCGCGGCCACATATTTTTTGACACAACGAGTTGGAGCTCCACAACTCATAATATTCCCACAAAATTCCAATATTTTGAGAAATAAATAATACCTGGACCAAGTGTTACAGAAATGGGAGAAGATGGAAGAATAACTAGCTTATATACTTGGACTTATTACAAAACAACCCATCATGTTCTTTTTTTGCACAAATTACCCCTATGACTAATTACTTGACTAACAAATCATATGTTTTTAACAGTATCCCTCCCTCATCATTTTACTATCATTTTAAGTCCCATATGATTACTTTAGTTAACTCAAGGTTAACTCTTTACATTTGTCTAATTATTCTAATTTAACCCCAATTCAGATCCAAGATTTTATGACATTTTCTTATAAGGTTTTTAATTTGTTCTAAACACCATAATATTATGTATTCTTATTATTACGTATTTATTTATTCTCTCTATTTTTATCCATCTAAACGCCAAAAAATTCTAAGCCCTAAATGAGGGTGTTATAAAGTATGATGTTGACCAGATGGAGGAAACATTTATTGACCATCACACATGCTTTCATACACCAAGTTTGTACAAATCCAAGTATCCTTGTTATTGATTTGAAGAGGAACTTTAGAAAATTACCAAATATAAATTTCAGAAATAAAGGTATTTAGGGCAAGGATGATCGCTATAAACATATTACATGGTGATTTTAAGAAGCAATACAACATGTTAGGGGATTATGTCTTAGAGTTACAGAGGACCAAGAAAGGAAAAATAGTTAGAATTAAAGTTAAATTTGAACCAAACATTATCATGGTTACAAGAAAATTTAAAAGAATCTACATCTCCTTTGGGGATTTGAAACAAGGTTTAGAGAAGGAAGAAGCAATTTATTGAGCCTACATGGAGAATTCCTGAAAGGCTTATTTCTATGCCAGATCTTGACAGATGTTTCACTACATGGAAAAAATGGCATCTAACATGTTTCTTATGTTGTTGTAGAGGCTGCGACGACCAACTCATGGACTTGGTTTTTGGAATGTTTGGGGGAAGATTTATATTTGTCATCAATATCTAATTTCAAAATCATAACAAATAGATATAAGGTATATTTGATTTACATTACAATTTTTCACTAGTTATTTCAAAATGAATATCGTTTATGTAGGGTGTTTTACGCTTCCTTAGAAATATCCATGATAATATGTGACATCCCCTATTTTTCAGAACAAAAAAAACTTTTCTTTACGCTTTAAAAATAACAATATCTTTGTTTGCACAAAATCCCAGTACAATAAAACATTTTGCAGAACTTGTCTTGTTTTATTAAAATATATTGAGTAAAGATGTTTCAAAATACAAAACCTAAGAATGTCATAATCAATACACAACATATGTTACATCGTAAAGACCTAATGGTCCTGAACACTATTACAAGTTGTCTCTTAATCACTAACATCCTAATCAAGTTCCAATAGATTTAACTCTGTTACCTGTGATACATATAATTTGAGTGAGTCGGGTAGAGAAACCTGGTGAGACACAAATGGTTTTCAATCCCATAATACTATTATGATAATAATTTATAATTATCAAACCTGCAAAACCAACTGTTGCCAAACATTATAGATGTATCCCAAAACTTAGATATCTATAAAACGTTACCCCATACATACTATCCCAACCAGTTCTTACAAATCCTAGTTCATGAATATTAGGAAGAATCAACTGACCTGGTGAATCGTTTAGAGCAATGGTTTGACTACACAGCTAGGGGCTTCCTTGGTCGGTGTAAGCCATAAAGGCAATTCAAGCCATCCGAGTATCTGATGAATATGGTATCCCATTTCATCTACGTCTGTTGGTTATAAGTCCATACTAGTAACGTAATTTAGAAGAACATCTACAATAATCAAGTGTTGTCATATTACCCTGGGAGATGACCAGACATACCATTTCGGTTGCCTGATCGGATCCACCATATCTGGCTATCCAAAGGAATACTATATCGTACTCTGGTACGTAATCCATACATCGACACCTGATAGTATCACATAATAGAATTCTACTATTCGTTCCTATCGTACATACTTTTAATATGATGCTATCCAATATCCAAACTTAATTGAACTAAACATGCTTTATAAGTCTTATTTCATTATTAGGCTAGACTATAATACTTATAATAAACTTACAAAACCGATTTCCTGTTTATACCATATTATCGCAATACAATATATGCCTACACTTTTATCCAACTTAATTGGAATTAATCATCCTCTTATATGTCTTAATTTAAAAACTAGACCAGACTATAATATAAATAGCCAACTTTCAATACACTTTCCTTGTTAATGTGATATTATTATAACACATGGTATGATTAAGTATTCATTTAACTTAATTGGAACTAAATATCCTTGACAAACCTTAGTTTGTGACTAAACCAGTTCACTATTCATTATTAATAAAGTCTTCACGATACGATCACGTCGATTTTGAACGAAATTTGGTGAAAAATGTGAGATGTTTGAGTTTTGGGTGTTTCTTTTGGTATTTTTTTTGAGATTTTGGGTTGGAAGGGGAAACCATTTTTTTTCAGGGTTTGAGTGAAAAAATGAAGATGGTGAAGTGGGATAAAATAAGTGAAATAGTTGTGTTTATATAGGGTAAAAATGGGGTTTTTTGAAATAAAAAAAAACGTTAAGAAAGGGGCACCCAACGGCTAGTGCATTCAAACCCAACCTCTCTCCTCGGTAAGTTCTAGCCGAGTTGCCGAGCCGAGCTCGGCATGCCGAGGGCTCGGCCTGGTGTTCGCCGCGGTCGGCATGCCTATGGCTCGGCCTAATGTTCGCCGAGCCCGCTGAAGTCATTCCCGAGTCCACACCGAGCAGCCTAAGTATTTCAATTCTCGTGCCCTCAGTGAATCGATATATAGATTGTTGTCCTGCGAGAATCACAAATCGAATACACAAACTTGTGGGCTAAAGTTACTTTGGACCATTATAATAATATATCTATAGTAAACTAGGCTAAATTATGCCCCCTATATTTTGATGCCCTGAGGCTTTTGCCCCGCTCGTCCATATATTGTTACAAATGCAAACCATAATGACCATCCATGTGAAAATCCAAATACTAGAACCAAATATGTGAAATCCAAATACCAAAACATGTGAATTTGAACAAACCGTAAGGACCAAATGTATAGCTTACTATATACAAAAATTTTAAATGACGCGAGGTCATTTTTTAATATCCCTAGAACATGTGTAAAAAGCGGCATTATGCATGTGGATATGTGATAGTTACATGAGCAGTGAGAAAGGGGTCATAGTCAATTCGTCAATATCAACATACAGGAAACCGGAAATTGCGTTGAAAAGCGTCCGTTGATTAGCAAGGACCCACAGTCCCACACCACTACGATTTTGTCCCAGCTATGGAGCACCAACAAAACCCTGATCACCACCGTGGCGGAGACGGCGGTGGCCGAACATACTGTGTTACCGGAGCAACAGGTTACATCGGATCATGGCTTGTGAAGTCTCTCCTCGAAAAAGGCTACTCCGTTCATGCCACTGTCAGGAATCCCGGTTCGTATTCCCCTTTCCTACAAAATCAAATACTGTTATAGGTTAATAATCTTGGATTTTTGGAAGGTTCAGCGAATTGTGATCATTTTTTGAAGTTATGGCGAGGTGGTGATCGATTAAGATTGTTCAAAGCTGATTTACATGAAGAACGGAGCTTCGATGATGCTGTGCAAGGCTGCCATGGCGTCTTTCATGTTGCTGCTTCCATGGACATCGTTCTTCCACCTACCAACAATCGTAAGTCCAGTTTTCGATCATGTAACATCTGTTACCTAGATCGTTATTATCAGCTAAATGAAATGTTTTTCTATCTTGAAGACGATTCTGTTCAATCTAATATTATCGACCCATTGATCAAAGGAGCATTAAACATTCTCAAATCTTGTTTGAGATCAAAATCTGTCAAACGTGTTGTTTTCACTTCTTCTATCAGTACCATGACTGCACTAAACAACGACGGAGAATGGCTGCCGGTGGTCGATGAATCTTGTCGGATTCCCATCGATGTTGTCTGGAATACAAAATCAAGTGGTTGGGTAAATGAACAAATCAATAATCATCAAACATTTTATATATGGAAGCCAAATTTCTTAAAGTTATGATTTTATGCAGGTTTATGTACTCTCAAAGCGTTTAACTGAAGATGCATCATTTCAGTTCGCAAAAGAAAACGGCATTCATCTAATCTCCGTTGTCACAACCACCGTAGCCGGCCCTTTCCTAACTCCGGCAGTCCCCTTGAGTATTCGTTTTCTTCTCTCTCCTATAACAGGTTGCTTTCAGCTGTACTTTGTGGATCAATGATTGTCCTTTTTTTATGTTATAATAACTTTTTGATTTCACTATTGATAGGTGACTCCGATCTTTTACCTTTATTATCAGCTGTGAATTCAAGAATGGGTTCGATTGGTTTGGTTCATACTGAAGATATATGCAATGCCCACTTGTACCTTATGGAACATGATCAAGCAGAAGGATCGTACATCTGCTGCACTAATAGTTGTACATTGTCTCAATTGGTTCATTATCTTGCAAAAATATATCCTTCTCCTAATTTACACAGGTCAAAACTCCATTAAAGATTTGACCTTTTTTTCTAAGGGTATCAAAAAGACTTGACCTTTTTTGCAAAGGGTTAAAAAAGATTGACCTTTCTTTAAAGGGTTTAAAACAGATTTGACCTTTTCTTTGGAGGGCATTAAAGATTTGACTTTGTTTTTCTGAAGTTATACAAGATAAGTTGAGGTTAAAATCCCCTTTCCAACTATTTGATGTCCAGATTTGATCACTTTGAATTTACATACATACATACATGTGTCACATTTTTTATAATTAATATAAAATATACCATTAATATATAGTTTTCCGGTCATAATGTTATGACAAATAAAACAAAAAGAGTTTAAGGACCTTTTATGAACAAAAAAAATCCATAGTGGCCAAATGTGGACAACAAATAGTTAGTCACTTTGGTCATTCTTCATTTACATAAATATATAGGATTCTTAAACTTTTATAATTTGTATCGAACATGCCATTATAACTAGCTATAACTTGTAACTTTGCAATCATAATGGTATATAATCAGTACAATACGAGTTTATGGGTTTTTGATGCAATAAAGAAATCCAGAGTGACCAAATATAGACAAGGAATAGTTGGTCGCTTTGGTCATTCTGAATTTACATACATGAGTCGTAACTTTGCAGGCATAATGATATAATAAGTACAAAAAATAAATTTAGAGACTTTGGATACAAAAAAAAAGTTAAGAGTGATCAAATGTGGACAAAGAATAATTGGTCTTGGTCACTTTAAATTTAGGTACATGTTAGTAAATTTCTATAATTAGTATTGAATATACCATTATGACTGACAAATCTGCAGTCATAATGGTATAATCAGTATAACAAAAAGAGTCTAGAACTTTTGATAAACAAAAAAAAATCAAGTGAACATGTGAACAACAAATAGTTAGTGACTCTAAATTTACATACATATAGGATTTATAAACCATTATGACCTTTAACTTTTTGGTTGTAATGGCATACTCACTACATAATAAAGACTTTACATCTTTTGAGTAACAAAAAAAAAATCAAGATTGAACAAATGTGGACAACGAATAGTTGATTGCTTCGGATATGTTTTACCATTATTACCACACAAACTTTTTTCTATCCGTTGTCTTTATTTGATCACTTTAGATTTTTTTGTCCAAAACTATTTCCATTCTGCTACTTATACAATTATGAGCAGAAAGTTATAGGCCCATTGTTATGGTGTATTTGATACAATTTAAAAAAAAAATCCATAGTGAATAAACATGGACACAAATAGTTGGATCACTGATTTCAACTTAAACCCTAACATGATTTATCTCTTTTGCAAATGGTATCAAAAGATTTGGCTTTTTTATTTCTAGAGGGCAACGAAATATTTTGTAACTTTGTATTCAAGGGTATGAAAAGATATAACCTTTTATTGTAGGGTATAAGAGATATGATTGTTTAATTTATTGCAGAGTTGTAAGGGCAGAAATGGGATCAGCACCTAGTGAGATAAGTTCGAAGAAGTTGAAAGATTTGGGTTTTAGGTACAAGTATGGATTGCATGAAGTGATACATCAAACAGTTGACTGTTCTATTGACGCTGGCCTCCTACCTCCAAATAAGAACAAGAGTACAAGTCATGATGCAATGAGTACAACCCAATTACAAGCCTCATAAACAAGAAAACTGAAAAGTCTACATCCAAGAGTTATTGCCAACTGCCATTCACAGCAAATCTTTAGTGTTGTCAATCTTGAAACTGTTTTAATCTATTTAAAATATATGTACCACAGAGCATTTAAAGCCATGCAGATGCTTTAATAAGTTGTACCTTCTCCTAAATGGTTGTTTTCGTGTTTTTTATTGTAATAAAAACGTTACACTTTTAGAGTTTTGAGGAGAAAAGAAAAAAAACAAAAATTTACTGTAAAAAAACAAAATTTTACTGTACCAGGTTTGCTAATTTGGTAACAGATACTGGAGATACTATTGTTTGTACTCTAGGACCACTTGTCCTCTATTGGATATAGAATATTTAGATGGATTATTTGGAATCCCAGATAAGATACAATATTTATTGCATGGTTATACAAATACAAATTAGATACTTTTCTTTTGTAGGTCAACTATAGCATTTGAATGACATTATAAGGTTAAGAAATCTTTTTTTTTTTAACTATTAAGAGATCAAAATAATTCAACATTAAGTAATTCACTTAATTCAGTCGACAGCCTCATCTTTTAGATTGTTTTTCACCCATTTAAGTGCATGTACGTAGGTCCAATAAAAAACAAAATGTTGGTATAAAACGCATACAAGTCACATGGAACATGCAACCTTGAGACGATATACATTACATTGATTTTCATTTATATACATTATTCTATGCAATGTGGTTATATCTATGAAGACAATAAACAAGTTGTTTGGTTTTATCTTGTTTTTCTGTGCTGATAATATGTATATAATACATGTTTCTTTAAGCATCTTCAGTAGAGTCTTAAAGACATTTTTTAGTGGTTAAAACTTATGACAAGCAACACAATTATTGTACGTTTGTTGTCTTTTCATACTTGGACGGTTGCAAGTGCTTGTTACTTTTACTTTTTGTTTTTATACCTTTGTAACCATTTTCTTTCGTTTTTCATAAATATATGATTGATGACAAATTGAAAATATAAATTTAAACAATATAGTACAACATAAAACATATATAAGAATCAGATTTAATAAAAATGAAACTAAACCTTACAGCAAGCAACACAGTCATTGTAAATATGAATTTAAACAATATATTAAGCTTGGTTGCAAGTGTTTGTTACTTTTCTTTTTTGTTTATTTTTAATATTTTTTTAACAACTTAATTGCATAACAAGCAATTGCATAGAAATAGAAAAGACCGACTTTTAAATCCAAGAAACCTAGTTTATAGTAATTTTTCAGTTCCTATTTACATACAAATTGAAATAATTATCAACTATAGACTCATAAATTGTCTCCCTATCCCTATGTTACTCGTCACTCTTAAAGACACTGGAATTTCTAAATTGCAATAAACCCACCAACTCGTCATAACAATAGCTTATAAAAGTCATAACAATAGCTTATAAAGTCGCTTTTCTTATAGAAGACATATGTAACACATCAATCCAAGCACTAGTGTCGAAAATAGTACTCAAATTCGGCAAAGCAATGTCCACCAACTTGAAAATCACATCTTAATTTCTAACAACCACCTCACATTTGATTAACAAATGGTCTAAATCTTCTTCATGACTCTCACACCACGGACACAAAACGGAAGGAACATTAACTCCACAACAAACCATATTAGGCCTATTTGAAAAGCGATTCAAGAGCACCCTCTGCGCTAAAAAGTTCATTTTTCAAGGAACAAATCGGTTCCATCGACTACCAATATTAGCAACATCCAACTAGTGATCGTCAATGAACTTCTAAGTATAATTACTTGTGAACTCCTTCGTATGGTTTAAGCCCTAAATCTACTTATATCAACACTCAGTATGTTGAAAATCAATAAGGAGACGACTCAACTCATCAAGTAGCACAACATCCACCCCTCATCGGATACCATGTCACTAACTTCAAAACCTAATCATTGTTAACCCACTTGTCTTTGATTAGAAAATATTTTCTGATCTCTAAACGATACAATCTTTAAATCTCATCTTTAAATGGACACTTCTAAGCCAAACTTCCTTCCAATACCTCGTGGAATCACCTATCCCAATCTTGTTTCTAAGATTAGAAAAAACAATACCTTTTCCATTCATCTTATGAAATGAAGGTGCAATTCTCGACCAAACACTACTACCATGAATTTAATTTCCACTTCCTTTTGGTTCCATACAAATTTTAATCAAACAAGACCATAAAGTATCCGTGATTTTCATTTCGGGCCATAATTTCGAGTCGGTCAAAAAAGCTATAAATAGAGTTCTAATTTCGACTTAACGAGTATTCAAAGGATTGAGAGGAAAAATATCAATAATATAAGAAGATCACGACCAGGGAAGGCCGTTTTAAGGGTCCTTAGGCGATATTACCGGAAGGCTGATATGGAGCATATATCCGAAGATCAAGAAAAAAAATCATTATGTTATCAATTTGTTTACTTTTCTGTCTAGACTTAATCAACTCTTTGATTTCTTAGATGTTCTTGTTGAAATTTAGGATCATACCCTTTATGCAACCCTAATTATATTATTGATTGATATTTAATTTTTTTTAAATATATTATGTTTTCTTGATTAAAGATCCATGAGTATTAATATTGGAATGATGGTTCGGCCCTGTCCTTGGCCTCGAGGAGTGCTGAGAAGCACGAAACTTGAATCAAATATTGGTGTCATTATGTCTGTGTGACTGAGTCTCATAATATAGATTGACTTTGGATTATGTTTCTCATATCATATTATGCCCGACAATTAGGAGACCATAACTTGACTAATTAAGGTGTGTAGTGGTGATTGGAGGAGGCATCCCTAGGTTAAACATAAGAATATCGATTTAACTTTTATGATTGTAAAACCTGAAATTTCGAAAGAATTTACCTTGAGTGAATAGTTGGGCAAAAGGGTAATTTGGTAATTTAGATAGATTTCATATATTTGTGAAGATGTAGCTTCGTGAAGTTAGCCAAGATGAGTCTAATATGTTCTTATGAGATGATATAAATTGGTTCAAGAGAAGAAAGACATGAGATTTTGCAATTAGACCATAAAGAGTAAAATGGGAATTTTATGAATTTAGTGGAAAGCTTGTGACTTTAAGGATTAAGACATGTAGGCACTCAGTCTGAAATGAATTAAAGGAGTCGTAGAACTCATCCCCACCGTCATGTGGATATAATATGTGTAGAAAACAGAGATAAGATGAATAAGATATGCATCTTTGAAGATGTATTACAAATTGGGAAAATTTGGTATTTTGAGCTTTTGCATGACTTAATGGATTAAGTTCCATATGAATTAAGACAAAAGTAATTAGATAGAATTTTAGGGATTGTTAATACCTTCGCGTGGATATAAAGATGACTGAAAAGGGGTTTGAAACGAAGAAATTATGAATGTTTTGGGGTTGGAATGGAAAATGGCCAAAGCTGGAATCTGTGAAATGCAGTCACCGCGGTATGATAGAACCGTAAGAAGATTGCCATGGCGTGATGATGTTTCTGGAACATATATTTAATCTATTAAATCTCTTTTCATGAACCCATTTCAGAAGATTTGAACCATAGCTCTTTTACAATGATTTTGAGGCTGTAAATCTAGAGAAGGATAGTACCAAGGGAAATAAGTTGTAAGCTCTAAAAACACATAAATGTAATAGTTTTATAACATCCCGATTCCCAAGTATAACATTTATATATTTATTTATGAGTTGTTTGAGCAACTCGACGATTTGGATGCCCCAACTCGTCGAGTAGAGGCGGATTGACCACGTGGGTTTTATGACCAACTCGACGAGTCGGAGAGACCAACTCAGTGAGTTGGCGCTGTGAGAGGAAACCCTAATTCTCCGAGGTTGGGTCCTATTTAAAGGACCTTAAGCCCTCATTTCCGCCTCACCAGCCACCTTACTCCCCCGTGTGAAACCCTAATCGCCTATATTGATCTAAGAGAGAAAGAGAGCTAAACTTTGGGCATTTTGGTGCACCTTTTTAAGAGAAAAGAAGAGTATCAAGGCAAGGAACGAGAAGAGACTGTTGGATTTGGTGTTATTTCATCTATAGCTTTTATGGAAGGTAAAAAGTCTTCACCTTGCTCATTATTGTGATTAGATCTAGTTTTCATGGAGTTTTAGGGCTTTTTCCATCTTTCCTTGAGACTTTGAGTGTGTTGAAGTTACCAAGTGATTGAGACTTTAGATCTGGACCTTGTGAGGTCCCTAGAGTCCAAAGGTCCCATCTTTATCCAACTATAGAGGAGCTTTTATGCTTAAGACCCTAAATGGAACTTGTTTTAGCATTTCAAGCCCTAAGTGCCATGCATGGACGTAAAGATTGTAGCTTTATGTGGTATCTCAGCCTTGCGAGGCTAGATCTAGAGTTTGGGGTTGTGAATCTGCCTTACAACGTCTGAATGAGAAAAGAGACTTAAGGGACTCGCCGAGTTGATGAGCCAACTCGACGAGTCGGCTAGGGTTTTCCCCGATGAGTCTGGACATGAGTAACTCGGCGAGTTAATGAGACAACTCGACGAGTTAAGTTGGATTTTCGCGACATTTCTGAGGAAACGAGGGGACTCGATGAGTCACAGAGATGCACTCGACGAGTCGGGTCAACATGGACTGTTGACTCGAGTGTTGACTTCAGTTGACTTTAGTGTTTGGTCAAGACAGGATTATTGAGACCATAGAGGGGTAGAATGGTATTTTACCCATTCCAAATGTTAGAGAGAGAGAAAGAGAGAGAGAGAGAGAGAGAGAGAGAGAGAGAATAGCCTTTGGTTTTTTTAGAGTTGTGATTGGAGTGTTAATTAGAGATAATTATCATATGTGTTAGCCGGAGGCTAGATCGGTGATTCGTGTACGAGGTTTATTTGCTTGCTTACGAGGTGAGTCTTCTCAGTATACTTACCTTGAGTGGTAACTATATGCGACCGAAGGGTCTTGTATGCTTATATTGAGTATTGTGATATCTTGCATTATGTATTTGTGATTTATGTTGTGTATTATGTTGAGCTTTATTGAGTTAGGACCGGAGGGTCCACCCGAGTTATAGGACCGGAGGGTTCCACTGAGACAAATCGACCAGAGGGTCTTATTTAAGATATAGCTATGAGAGGCTAATGAGTTGTGTGTGGTATTTTGAGGAACTCACTAAGCTTCGTGCTTACCGTGTTATGTGTTATGTGTTTCAGGTACTTCTCAGGATCACGGGAAGGCGCCGACTTAATTGTACACACGAGACAGAGTTATGTTTTGAGGATCCTGGATTGTGTTTAAACAATTTTATGAACATGTGTTTTGTTAAATTGTCATTTTGGAGATTCGTGAACTATGTTTATGGGAATTATGTGATTTTTAAAATGAAAAAAAATTGTTTGAAAATTTACAGTGTTACAAGTTGGTATCAGAGCCTTGGTTTGAGGGATTCAGATGTACCTCCGGGTGTGTCTGGACTCAAACTGAGGATTTGATAAATTTTTTCAAAAGAAATGATTTTTCCAAAATGAGAAAGAGTTTAAGAGAAAAACGAGTTGGAGTAGTGTGTACAATCAGCCAGAGCCCGAATGTTGATTTCCCAAAATACCCTTACTTATTGTGTTATGAGATATTTATGAGATGTTAGGGATGCATGCTAGAGGATAGGCTAGGTATTTCATATTTAGGGCTAGAGTTGCCTGATTTGTGATGCCTTAGCCTAGGAGTTGTTGCTATCTGTTGTTTGCCTTGAGTATGTGATGAGTAGAAGTATCTAGCAGGAATCACTTAGAAAGAGTTCTGAGTCGAGGGATAATCTAAGAGAGATATCTAGATGAGTATATGAGGAGTCTACTGAGAGAGCAGTCTGTTATTCGTGAGAGATAGAGTACTTGTGAATTGGAATCCTAGGAGGAGGACTTGGGGTGACTACAGGTTGGTGTGGAAGGTAGTATTGGACTCGTACTACTGAAAACACCGGACTTGTATGCAACCCAAGTAAAAATCCTTAGGGTACTAAGGAGCATGTAGGGGCGGGAAATCGAGTGTGATTATGCTCGAGCGAGTCTCTGATGATTATTGTGTTGTGTTTCAGAGACATCATGGTGGGTACGCGCCATAACCCCGAGGGCGGTAGCGCCAGTGACGAGGAGATCCGCCGGATCATTCATGAGGAGGTGTCTGCAGTTATCCGAGAGGCGATACCGGAGATGTTTGGGTCTATTAAGACCACACTGATTGAGACATTTGATGAGCGTTATGCTGCTGTTACCGAAGCTGCTGCTGCAGTAGCCACCGCAGCCGTAACCGCTGCTAGGCCATAGGGAGGTGACTCGTTGTTGTTCCGGGAGTTCAGCAACACAAAGCCACCAGAGTTTGATGGGACACAGGATCCGATTGATGCTATGAGATGGATCTCCGACATCGAGGGGTGTTTTTACACGTGTTCATGCCCCGATCATTTGAGAGTTCAGTTTGTGTTGAACCAACTTCGCTTGGGAGCGAAGGACTGGTGGAAGTTTGTGACTGCCAGCTTTACTCCTGTAGATTATGTTGCAATGACATGGGAGAGATTTACACAGTTGTTGCGAGACGAGTATGTTCCCCAGGTGGAGAGGGAACGGTTAGCCCAGGAGTTTCTGTCTCTCAAGCAGAAGACAGAAACTGTGACTGAGATCTCAAGGATGTTCCGTGAGACGGCGCTGTTTTGCCCTGAGCACGTGTCTACTAAGCAGACACGTGTGAGCCGATATCTGAGCATACTGAGGAGGGATATACGGGAGTTCGTGGTGAACTCGTCATACCGGACATTAGGTGAGCTTCAGACCTCCCAATAATTTCTTCAAGCTCTTACCAAGAAGCTAGACTCAAAATCACTCCTCTCTTCCTCCCTACAACCCACGAAAATCATCAAGGTGAGTTCATACCCCCATATTTTCAAGCTTTTTCCATGTTTTAGGGGGGGGGGGGGGAATACAAGTAAAACTTTGTTTATCCCACAAATAGTTTCATGTTTTTCATCTTTATGTTCAAGATGAAATATTATTTACATAAGTTATGGTTTATACTGGTTTTTGGTATCAATATTTATGATTTACATATTGCTAAAACAAACCTAATCTATATTATAAAATCATAAGAGAAGTATGATTTGTAAAACCACATGGCTTTTGGAAACTTATACTAAAAGATAGCTTTACTAGCAAAAATGGTACTGTATAGTCATTTACTAATCTAGTGGATTTTAACACCAAAGTATTAAGTTTTGATTTCATAATTTTCATGCTAGAATACACCTTTATATTTATATAAAAGATTATATAAATAGTTTCAAACAAACATAATAAACTATAATCAGTATAGTTTGGAGGTCACAAACCACACTTTTCAAAGGTATACATAACTATTTAAAGGCATATTTATCTATTTTGCAAGAAAAAGGGAGTCATAGTTCACGTAAATATGTTAAGACTCTTGTGAGACTTTCCTTCGCCGTACCTACCTAGCGTACACCGTAAGTCTTGTAGTTATAACCAGAGTCTCCTGGAGGGAGAGCGAGGTAATTGTGTATAGATCTATACGGGGTTGACACCCCCACACCTGAGTTGTTTGCTACATCTAGACGAGGCCAGTCTAGGGTGACAAATATCTTACCGAAACCGACGCCTGAAGAACGTCATGACAGACATTTTAGTCATATCAAGCATGGTTATAGCGACTCACGTAAGGATTAACGAAATGATTTTGGTTTACGGGAAGCTTATACTTCATTAGTTTTATTGAAAGAAATGAAACTATAACGTATTTTCTGTATGATATTCACTTCCATCTTGGTCTTAGGGTTTAAGACCACAGTTCACCTTTAAGAAAATATTGGATTTTATGGAATTATACATTACTACTTTACAAGGAAAAGATACAAAGGAATTACTTACGATTTCAGTTTATACTTAAGAAAATATTGGATTTTCTGGAAATATACGAAACCATCTTTTCGCAAAAACAGTTATAAACCATTTTATGCAAAAATGCTTATGATATCACCAACTTAATTGTTGACACTTTTCAAAATCACTTGTATTCTCAGGAACCCCGTAGAAAGGTACTCAACCCCTCCTGAGGGCCGGCGTCGTCATCTTATGATTTTCTACTTTTCAATTATTTATGTTTAACTTTTGAACAAACGAAGTGTTGTAAACAATGTAAACGTGTGTTATCAATGTATGAATGTTTGGGTTGCTATGTTTCATTACTATTCAGTTGTTATGATAATGTACATGAAGTCACTCCATCCGCCCCTAAACGTTTCCGCCGTTCTGGTTTGGGGGTGTGACAGAAAAGCTGAAAACCCCGCCATGGTGATTTAGGGTTGGTTCCGTATCCATCCCCCGTTCACTTCCATCTCCACTTTCTCTTCCATCTACAATCTCTCTTTCCAGCGATGAAGGTTTCTCGTGATTTTTTGTTGTACTTACAAGCCCTAGGTCCTGATGTGTGATGCATGCGTATCTTGCACCTGATGCGTTCTTTGGGTTTTTTAAGCAATTGTGATATAGAACAAACGTCTCTTCTCCCACCGATCAAGATTCCGCTTGATTGTTATCCCTCCGCCTTCCCCTACGAATACGCTCCCACCTCCCATAATATCAAACTCCTGAAACTGCCTCCTTCTAATCCTACCGATAGTCCGACACCATTAAATTGCATCCCTAGATGCTCTTGTCATCAAAATAGCCAAATCAGAGATTCATCTCATCTTCTTGTTTTTATTATTATTGCTTGAATCCTTTCATTGCTCATGTGATCAACGATGGAGCAGAAATCGATTAAACAATTAGATGCCGACAGAGAACATCCTACCAACGACATCAATTGCAGAGCGTGGCTATTCTCTTCTTGTCCAACAACCCGTCAACTCCTCCATTCTTCCTCTTCATCGTTGCAGCGAACCCAAATCCCCTTGTCTGCAAATGATTTCCCCATGGCGTTCTGTGTGCATTGATCAAGGTTTTCACCTTCATCCCTTCTACTCTGACTGGTCTGATACATTCCCCTAAAAAAGAAAAATAATTTCTTATTCTTTTATTATCATCATCTTCATTACTACTTGACAGGTGAACGATCTTTTCTCTATACCTAAAGCAAAACTGATACCAATCTTTCTTAAAGCAAAGCAAATAAATATATCATTCAAGCAGTGAAGGAATTGAATGTTATATGATTATGAACAGGGGCAAATGTGTAAAATAAATAATAATTCTTTTTGTTATGGATGGTGCACAGGACAAGGGCACGCTGGTCAAGATTGGAAGCTTTACACATTCATATCCATTTTGTTGGAGATCTGATACCCCTCTTGTCTACAGAGTAGTTCCCAGCTGGTACCCTATTTTTCCTTATCTCTTGTGCAAAAGACGTGAATGCCCTTCTCATCCTCATTATCTTTTTGGTTATTTAGTGGGATAAAGTGGTATCATAATTAGTTTATTCTCGTTTCAAATTGCAAGTTCAATCACCCTCTCAGAAGGAGAAATCAGGTTTAATTTCTACAAACAAATTTAAATTGTTATTTCATTGTGTCTGCTAAAACTTACTGAAGATCACTTCTCTTATTTAGCATCCCATGAAGGAGACAAAGAATCAGAAGGAAGAAAACTCGGAGACGCGTGGACAGGTTGACTGCAATGTTATTTACTATCATTGTTCATATAATATTTATCCATTTCCATACATTGTTGTACAGTTGTTTATGTAATCAGCCCTATTAATAAAGAAATTTAATGTAAGATGAGCTAATGAAACTCAAAAACAGGCTTTCAAAATTTAAACATCCCAACCTTTACCTTTCGGTATGTCCGGTAATGCTCCAGGTTTCACCCAAGGCATTCTTATTTCTTTTATAAGTTGCTTCTCACTGAAAATTAAGCATCCCTATTGTTAAAATTACCAAACAGTACACTATATAATTTGCAAGAACCACCTATTTCTAATGTTACTTTCTCTATATTGTCATGTAAAAGTTCATATATTTTCTAATTTTACTCTGTTTTTTTTGTAACGTAGGAATCAACGCACCTACTTCACGATCTTTAGCCAACTATGTGATGTTGTCAATCGTTTATGGAGGAATACTAATATACAGGGAAAGTGGGCTTAAGGTTTTTTTTTATCTTCAATCTATATTTTATAGTTTATGACTTTATTCATGTTTTTTTTTAAAATATGTTGTAATAATTCTTTTTATCCCCCTTTATTTATACTTTTACAGGCTAAATGGTATTACTATTTACTTCTTGGACTTGTAGATGTAGAGGCGAATTATCTAGGTAAGCTATAATATATGATTATGAATAATGTTTCTTTTTTTACTTAATACAGAAAAAGAACGAAAAAAGTGTTGACTTTTTTTATCATAAACAGTGGTGAAGGCGTATCAATACACATCTATTACAAGTATAATGTTACTCGATTGTTGGTCAATCCCTTCTGTTATCTTGCTGACGTGGCTTTTCCTAAAGACAAAATACAGATTCTAGAAAATTACAGGTGTTTCCATTTGTATTGTTGGTCTTGTTCTTGTTATCTTTTCAGATGTTCATGCAACGGATTGATCACGTGAGTATATTGGAATTATCAAATAATACATTTATATAATTAATTGGTGTTTTTCTAATTTGTATTTTTGTATAATTTTAGAAAGCGGAAGTAGCCCTATCAAGGGCGACTTTCTAGTGGTTGCAGGGGCTACCCTTTATGCTGTCAGCAATGTTAGTGAGGTAATCTTCTTGTCTTTTAACCTTTTTGGTCAAAGGGAAATTTTTTCATTTTGCTTAATGGGTCACTTTTGAGTTATGCAGGAGTTCTTTGTGAAAATTGATGATATAATTGAACTCATGGATATGTTGGGGTTATTTTCTTAATGGATCACTTTTGTATCCTACTTTAATTTTGTGTTCTATTAGGGCTTTATAATTTGCAAAATCTACCAAATTATAGCAATATTTCCAAATACTATAAATATAAAGAAATGAAAGTATGATGTCATAATAAACAAATAAATTAATAGCATTTAGCCCTTTTTCTTTTGTTGTCTTTAACAATGTATATCTGAAAGAAAACTCTTAATATAGAATTCAGATATCTTACAGTATGATGAAGATCGAGACAATATTTTTTTGAAATAAATAAATAAATAAATAAAACTTACAAATCAGAACATATAAAATCAGATTTACACCTTTGATCAACAAGTAAAGCAAGCTTTTAAAGATTCGAATAAAGTATGATGCAAAAAGATGAATAAAAACTAATTGATCAAAAGGACTGAGTTGAAAAAATTACAAAAATCATGGCAGAGGAAAAACTATTGGGATGATCTTTTTCTGGAATTAAGGGTACTATTTTGTTTGTCTGTTTACATGTTTGTAGGTCTGATGGCCTTGCTAACACTATTACCCACTTGGATCATTTTGAAACTGAGGTTCTACCATTCAGTATTTCCTTATTCTCCTTTAACCTTTTTTTCTTTGTATCTCTAAATATATAGTTGTAAAAGAACTAACTTTAAAAAGGAAAGAAATTAATTGTTGAAGTTTTTGATTGATTAGGTGTCTTGATTGAACTGCAGGGGTAGTGGGGCGGATAATTAGGAGGAATTGATGACAAATCAAGCATTTAAAGGGATCTAACCAGTTGTACATGTTTTGTTTTTCTATAATAAATATTATGCAATATTAGCAATGTATTATATTTACTTACTACTGGAATGATTATTTGTATTTGACATATTAGTGCAATGAATTATCTTTCTTATTTATTGTATTTTATTTTGTATTATGAGACTTCTAATGTGTTATTTAATTTAAAAATTACTAAATCTATCAAAATATATAATTTTTAAAACATTTAAAATTATGACACGCAAAAATGTGTGTCGTCTTTCTTTATGGCAGGGCTTTAATGATACGCAATGCGAGTCGTAAATGTGCGTCGTAATGTTACGACACACAAATGTGTGTCGTCTTCTTTATGACAGGGCCTTCCTTGACACGCACTGCGTGTTGTAAGAGCGTGTCGTAAATAGACGACGCACATTTGTGTGTCGTCTGAGCGTTTTAGGACACGCATTGCGTGTCCTAAAAGGGTGTTTTTGTAGTAGTGTGAAAAAATATAGAGATAGAGGGAATGAGAAGAGTAAGAGAAAGAGTGATAATGTGAAGAGTTAGAGATATAGAGATAATAAGAAGAGATAGAGACACAAAGAATGAGAAGAGTTAGAGACATAGAGATAATGAGAAGAGTTAAAGATAGAGAGATAATGAGAAGAGATAGAGATAGAGAGAATGAGAAGAGTTAAAGATAGAGAGATAACGAGAAGAAATTGAGATCTTGAGAGAATGAGAAAAAGTGAAAAGATATGGAGAGAGGTGAGGTAATGATAGATATATATAATATATCTATATATAGATATATATATATATATATATATAGAAATTCAGAGTTTATTTTTTATCAAAAAATAAAAAATATAGAAATTCATAACTTTCTATCATCTTTCCATTGATATATATATATATATATATCTATATATATCTATCTCTATATATATATATCTATATATATATATACTTTTTGATCTCTTCAGATTCACAGTGTGAATCTGAATGCACACTGTGAATCCGAATGATATATAATTTATTTTTTAGAATTCACTATGTGAAGTGACGAATTTAGATATTTTTAGTTTTTTTTTCAATAAAGAATAAACTCTAAAACTTGAAAAAACATAGTGGTTCCTTGGTTCCATGTATATATATATATATATATATATATATATATATATATATATATATATATATATAGAGAGAGAGAGAGAGAGAGAGAGAGAGAGAGATGGAGAGAGAGATAGAGAGTAAGGAAGAAAACGAGTACAAAGAGTAGTGGAGCCGTAAAGGATCATTATAATCCGTGAGGTATTATACGTAGTGGATCCATGAGGGATCATTGGAATCCGTGAGGGATTCAAGAAAAGAAATGTTGCTAAAGGATCCATGAGGGATCTAAGTAAGAGGGCATGAATCTAGATGATTGCACACCAATAAGGTCAGAGCTATGATGTCACTCTACATGATAGATGTCGTTATTTTTTTGTGACTAGACCGTTTGAGTCTTAATGAGAAAAGAAAATGGAAGAGTATGAGAAGACGAGAATAGAGTGTTTTATAACTCGCTAGACTTGTTGTCTGATGTTTGTTGTTTGTCATGTGTTGCAGGTTCAGGTTGTAGCCGTAATACGAGTAGAGATAGTAGCACAAAGGACATGGACTAGATGTATATTTTATTTGGTATATCCTTATTGCTTTAATTTACGGTTAAGATATGTTGTAAACCGGATGTATTATGTGATGTAAATTGTTTTTAAAACTTTGGTTTTCGAATGTTTATAGTAAAACTCTGATAAATCCTCTGAATATTTTATTGAGAAGAGTCGGTTCGTTACAACTGGTATTGGAGTCATAATTTAAGCGAATTAGGTTTGGGATGTCCATACCTAGACTTAAATTGTGGGAAATGAAAAGAACCATACTGATTAGCAACACTGTTAGTGATGATCACTTAGGTCATATTTGTTTATAGTCGATGTTGTTATTGGATCGAATAGATTCTAAAAGAATGAAATCATGTTTAAATCAAAGTAAAGATTAATCTTGAAGAAACGTCAAAGAAGTGTTTCTTTATTGTGTAAGGGTTGGATGAGAAAGGGTACCATTTTTGGAATAACCATAGTAGAAGGGTCAATCAAAGTCGGGTATAACATTCAACAAAAATGCTTTATATAAAGATAACCTTGTAATTTTCGAATGGAATAGGAAATTCTTAGTCTGAAACTAGAAGACAAGTGGTGTTCGAAGGGACGTCAGACAAAGAATTTGCGATGTCTTCCAGAAACGTTGAAACATATGAGGGAAATTAAAATAGTTGGTGGGAGAGAATCCGAAGGTAGTGAAGCCTAAAACAATAATTCCAAAAATAGCAGTTGTGAAGCTGATAATACCAAACCAACACCTTCTGTTCTTTGGAGAGCCACTTGAATTAGGCACCATGTGGTACAATATGTTCCTTTGGAAAGTTACATATTTTTTACTGAGAATGGTGAAGCATAATTATATCCAGAAGTCTTAAAACTAAAAGAATCCTTATATTGGAAGAAGGCAATGGAAGATGAGATATGCTCACTTGACAAGAACGATACTTGGACTCTTGTCAAAGTTACCATAAAAGAAAAAGGCATTATAGAATAAATGGGTATTCATAGTCAACGACGAAGTCAATGGCATCAAATGATAGAAGGATAGATTAGTAATGAAAGGGTAACAACAGAAAGAAAGAGTTGACTACCATGATTTTTTCCCCAGATGTAAAGATGACAACAATTCGAAATGTTCTTAGAACTGTTAATGCAGAAGACTTACACTTGGAACAGTTAGATGTGAATACTACGCTCCTACATGGTGACCCTGATTAGGACATTTACATAACACAACCAGAAGGTTTTCTGAAGACTCGCAAAGAAACCTTGGTGTGGAAACTTAATAAAATCTAATATGGATTAAAGCAATCTCCAAGGCAGTAGTGCCTTTAATTTTATGATTTTATAAGGAGGAACGTGTATCGAATATTTGAAAATGATCACTGTTTCTACCAAAATATGTTCAAATCCTCATTCATCACCCTCTTACTTCACATTAATGATATGGTGTAGTTAGATCCGACATTCAGGAAATAAGAAAGTTGAAGAAACAGTCATCCAAGGAGTTCGAGATGAAGCGCTTAGAAGTTGTAAACAGATCTTGGTCATGAGGATAGTCAGAGATAGAGCTTCGGGAATACTAAAATTTTCGGAAGAAAAATACATTCAGAAGGTTTTTGAGAAATTGAACATGACAAATATGAAATCCCAAAGCACGTTCCTTGGGATTTACTTGAAACTCTTTAAGAGTTAATCCCCAGCAACTGAAGCTAGCAAAGTAGAAATGGTAAAAGTCTCATACATCTTAGTAGTTGGTATCTTGATGTACGCAATGGTGTGTACCAGACCAGATTTTACTCATGCAGTGGGAATGGTCATTCGGTTTATGTCAAATCCATGGAAGGAGCATTAGGAAGCAGTTAAATGGATACTTCGCTATTTGAAGAGAATTTCAGGGGGTTACCTTATGTTTCCAAAGGAAAGATATTGCTATTGAAGGTTTCGTTGATACAGATTTTAGGGGTTATGTAGATTTAGGTAAAAACACAACAAGTTACGTATTCATAGTTAGAGAAATGGCAATCAGTTGGATGTCGAGACTACAAGAGAGTGTTTTTCTTTCAATTATAGAAGCAGAGTACAAGACTTTAGCCAAATCTAGTAAGAAGCTTATTTGGTTGAAGAACTTTCTTTCAAAATTGCGCTTGGATCAAGAAGATTGTATGTTGTATTGTGATAACCAACAGGCTATTCACATTGCAGAAAATCCAATGTTTCACTCAAGAGCGAAACACATCAAGATGAGATACCATTTTTCTTAGAGAACTGAGTAGTAAAGGTATGCTCAATTTAAAGAAGATCCTTGGTGCGAAGAATCCCACAGATATGTTCATCAAGGAAATAACAACAGAGAAGTTAAAGTTTTGTATGGATTCAAATAGTCTTCCTCATAACTAGAGTCAAAGACGCATGATAAATATGATTTGGGTTATTTCTTGGGTGGTAGATGAAGATTGTTTAACCATGTAATCCTCAAGGTGTGGGATTGTTGAGATATGGCGTCTAAATGACAATGGAAAAAGGTTATTTTAGCATTCTGAAGCTTCGATACGCTTTAGAACTATCTGTAGCAATCCAAAGTTTTGGTACGATTCGGAATAAAGTAATGGA